TATATATATATATAAAAAAAGTTTTATAAAAGTTGATTCTTTCTGAGAAGAACATGGAAAGCACTAGCCATCCATATGGTGGTATTTCAAGGCATGGTGCACCCCTACCTGAACCAGTAACCCGTATTTGTCAAACATCCATATCCTCCTATAGGCTTCCTCAGCAGAAACACCGCTTTCCATCATAGCCATAACAATGAGGTTTGCAATTCCCAGGGCAGCCTTGTGGATAAAAGGACTTTGATTTTTAACAAGTCACAAAAGAGGTCTCTCATCACAAACACCACCCTGTTCAAGATCCCCACAAAAAATCATTCAGTAAGTCAGCTCTGAAACACAAGCAGTGTTCACCTAGATGGGGCAGACTGGATCAACAGCGTCACGTCTTCAAGCAAAAGAGAAAGGCAGCTCTTCTGGGTACTCTGACTGTACCAGTTCAGCAGCCACAAAAAAGCGGCCCAACAAGACAACAAGAACAAGTCAGCGCTGCAGCCGTCCTGTCAAGAAACCATGGCATAGCGTTTTGTGCCCGACTGCTTCCCAAACCTCTCTCTGCTCTGGCTGCCTGTGGTACAGGCCTTGCAGACAGAGGGCAGAAAGTGGATGCTGGCAGTGCTTCCCTCCACATCCCTTCTCTTGGCTCCCTGCACATGCTACTAAGTCTGGCAGGAGAAATAAGGTAGAGGGAAGTGCAGAGCAGGACTCAGTGCTCAGGCAACAACACAACACTGCCCAATTACTGCAATCAGGACCTTCCCCAGCTGGAGAAACTTTCAGCTAATTAAGTTGTTTTGTCAGCACCATAGAAGCAATTTTGCTGATATACCAAGAAGCATGGTACTGGTCCTGACACTGCTGCCCCAGTAACTACTTAGTGTCTGCTGCAAACAGGCACTGATTTAACTTGCTAAGAAAACCACTGTGTACTTCTCTCCAATGCTATAAAAATTAACAAGATGTTCTTACCCTCTTTCTTATTAAACCCTAACTTCATGGTAAATTTCCCTTCAACTACATGTAATTCCCTGATGCTTTTGTCAAGTCCATGTAAGAAAGTGAAAAACTTGAGTCCCTGCAAATGTTCAACACCTTTCAAATAGTCACCTTTAAGCAGGTAGTCCCTTCTGTTAATGTATTTTCAGCTGGCCTTATATAAAAAGTTCTGCAATGGAATTCAGAGAATGTGAACCTCCACAAGTCCTACAGAACCAGAAAACATACATTTAAATCTGTTGTTGCTCTAGAGCCCTTAAAAAAACCTCACCTCTCCTGCTCCAAGGAACAGCACTTTCTGCTCTGCAAGTGGTTTACCAGTGGCTTTCTGTGCTGCCAGCAGTCCTGCCAAGGCCACTGAAGCTGTCCCTGTAAAACCAGTACAAATCTAAGGCGAGATGAACAGATCTACATGGCACATTACGGTTTTAGGCAAAGCTTCTGCATATACATTAAAGAACATAAACAAAGGGTATACCTTGAATATCATCATTGAAGGTACAGTATTTCTCTCTGTATTTTCTTAAAAACCGAAAAGCATTGTGGTTTCCAAAGTCTTCAAATTGTATAAGTGTGTTCTGGCCATACCTGAAGAACATGGTAAATATTTCTATCACTAGACACATAAAGAAATACAATCCTTTTAAAAGAAATCCTGCACGTAATCAATTATCTTTGGAAAGAGATGTCCTCAGGCCTTTCACTGCTTAAAACAGTTCCATCTCCGTTCTGTGTAAATTTAACAGATAACTAACTACAAGTAGCATGTTCCAGGTCACAGAGAAAATCACTACAGAGCCAGGAATACAGCCATGTCTCTTGACTTCTAGTCCTATCCTTATTCCTTAAATGACCGTTTCAAGGACAGTGTGTCATGGGGGTTTTTTGCCTGCAGTTTCAGCCATACTTCCATGCAGAATATTCAGTGTCATACCTGTCTGTAATGGCTTCCATAAATTCATCAATTAGGTCATCATAGACCTGTGAGCGATCCCTTTTTTGGTATAGGCCCATATAAAATGGATCTTTTAAGAGTGTCTGAAAAAGAATAAATCAAAGACAGCAGCAGGATGAATCACTTCCTCAATATACACTTTCCAGAGTTCACAGTTAACATATTTCACACCAAAGATACTGCATTTATATAGCCACTGTAACTGCCTCCAGTCTATATCAATGTTCAGTAATTTCGGCTGGCACTTGAGGTTGGTGATGGCTGCTTTTAAAATGGAACAAATCAATACTGGTGAACAATAAACTGCTTTAATAAATCTGATTCACATTTCCAGCTTCTTAAAGTCAGGTCAACCTGACTGTCTGTTTTACAATGTTCCAGCACTCAAATTACCTCTAAAGGCACCATTTCACTGACAAATTAACTGGTCTTTTTCAATCACTGATATGTTACTGTATAGTGAATTCCAAATAATTTACCCTTACATAAAGTATTTGGTCTTATCTTAAATAAAAGTGCTCAAATACAAATCTTCTCTTATACTACTAAATACTCTTAAATAAATACTTCTCATAGGGATAACTTATGTCAGCCAAACTTCAGTCAAACTCACTGTATTATCAGTTCCAACATCGATGCACACAGGCAAGCATTTATCTGGATGTATTCCTGCACAGGCTGTATAGAGACACAGTTTTCCTACTGGAATTCCCATCCCGTACACACCTAGGTCTCCAAGACCCAATATTCTTTCTCCATCAGTGACGACAACAGCCTGAAACCAAAAGCAGGTGAAATTATATATTATCAGTGACATTTATAATGTTTAGAGCAATACCAGTTGTGTTTTTTTCCAGGCAAAAATTCAAGTATGTTTGCACAGTCAAACAAAGAAGAGATTACAAGGAGTATTTTACTTGAAAGAATAATGCTTAATGTTAGAATCTGCTACGCTCTTTTTTCTGTGCTGAAATCAACTGCCCAAATTCTTGAAAGCTAAGTGGGAAGGATCCAAGCTGCCACGTGGAACTGCAGCTTGTAACTTGGGTTTATGATTTCCACTTGTAAATCCAGACATAAAAATGTTTGTATAAGTAACATTCACCTTATCTCCCTTTGGGGTTCTCAACCCAACTGGATTTAAGCACAAAATCTGAGCCTCCCAAACACCACTTCTGTGTCCTTATCTGAGGACAAGATCACCTCTTCTACTGCTATGTAACACAATAAGTAAGACCCAGAGGTGCATCCCCCAACACCTCTCCTAAAGGTGGAATAATGAAGTAAAACAAATAGTTTGGCAAGTCTATTTCTCATCATCACTGTTTACTCAAACCATAAACCTCACATTTAGGATAAAACACTGCCTTTCAAGATACACATTATCTTCATTAGCTGTATTTTGCCATCCTCTACAAACAGGCAAGGATGCATTATTTAGTATTTACATTTCCACTGAATACTAACAAATCTTCAGAAGCTCAACTGAGATTAAATAACAACTAGAATAAAAAATTATACAGTAGCAGTACCTTAACATCATTCTCTGGCCAGTTGTTCACAATTGACCTTATATGGCCTCTGTCTGAGATAGAAATAAATAATCCTCTGAAAGAAAAAAACAAAGCAGAAACATTTTATAGGTGGCAATTTGAATCACCTTGCTTTGTAAAACTAAATGTCAAAAGGTAAAATTTTCTTAAAATTGAAAGTGTTGCAATCACTTGACATAAATAACTCAAAGGACAATTTCTAATGCACGGGTCTATTCGGCTACTTTGACACGCTAAAATAAGAACACAGAATCACAGAATCATTAAGGTTGGAAAAGACTTTTAAGATCATCAAATCCAACCATCAACCCAACACCACCATGCCCACTAAACCATGTCCCAAAGTGCCACATCTACATGTTTTTTGAACACTTCCAGTGGTGGTGACTCCATCACCTCCCTGGGCAGCCTGTTCCAATGTTTGACCACTCTCTCAGTAAAGGAATTTTTCCTAATATCCAATCTAAACCTCCCCTGGCGCAACTTCAGGCCTTTCCTCTCGTCCTGTCGCTGGTTACTTGGGAGAAGAGACCAACACCCACCTCACCACAACCCCCTTTCAGGCAGTTGCAGAGAGCGATGAGGGCTCCCCTCAGCCTCCTCTTCTCCAGACTCAACACCCCCAGTTCCCTCAGCTGCTCCTCATCAGACTTGTGCTCCAGACCCCTCCCCAGCTCCGTTGCCCTTCTCTGGACACGCTCCAGCACCTCAACGTCCTTCTTGTAGCAAGGGGCCCAAAACTGAACGCAGTATTCGAGGTGCAGCCTCACCAGTGCTGAGTACAGGGGCAGAGAAAATACTTTCCATGATGCTACCTGGATTTTACACTACTACAGGTATTCACCTTTAATACTCCTCTAGGGCAAAATACCTCTGCTGTTAGCGTCAGACATGACAGGATCTACACTCCCCTGTAAGGATACAAGAAGGGAACACGATCTTAAGCCTGGCTTTATCTTAGTGAATCTCCATTCACAACATTACATAAGGTGAGGGGAAGGGAAAGAAAGGAAAGAGAAAGACAAGGACGGACCATACTGTCTTCTCCAAGACCACGTGAACACTGCTTCTCGCTCTGTGGGAAGATGGGAGGGGAGGCAAAGGAGCAGAGGTGAAGAGAAGTGTCTGTATTTATTCTGCTTGAGCAAGCCCTCTGTGGTTAGGAGGAAAAGGGCACAACAGGCTCGGCAGAGGTGGTAATCGAGAAGTTACCAACACTCAGAAAGTGCTGGTTATGGGAAGGAAAGGGGCATATCCTGAGTTCCAGTCCATGCTGCTGTTTCTTCTACAGACAACTTCTAAGAAGGAGAGTTTTCAAACCAGACTATAATACATACATGGAAGAGGAAAGGAAGTATATGAGAACTAGAGTACATCTTTCACATCCCCTGCCCCAGATCAGGAGCAAAACCATGCGTTTCTTACTGTCTTTATCACAGCAGCCACACTATGCAGCCAAGTTCTCATGGCAGCGAAGGATTAGCCCTTCCTCCACCCAGCACTAAAGCCCTCAAGCGAGAGGGCTCTAAAAATACACTTTGAATCGCAGTGAGAGTATCGTGGAAATGAGCTGAAACAACTGCCAGTCTCAACTGGTTTCCTCAACACAGAGCTAATAACCTGAATGATTGTTTTGAAGTCACTGCTGAATCCAAACCAGATCCAAGGCAAGTGTATTTAGTGTGTCAGAATAACTGAAAGCTAGCTCCTGGTAGCATCCGCTTTAATACAGGGTTTAATCTGCACCCAACAGAGTCTGCTGAGCTACCATGAGTCAAGCCTCTCCCTTCCTGCTTTGCCAACACCTCTCCTCACACGCTGCTCGCTGGCCTCTGCTCCTGCACCCAAGGTGTCACACTGTGCTGCTCTGCAGAGCATCGTGAGATTCTGTCCAGGACCGGGATCCTTTGCCCTCAGCAGGACCACGTTGGTCACAGCTTTGATTCTGCCAAAGCCACGGTTAGCCTGAGCTTCCTCCAGCAAATCTGCTGTATGGGTGTGCATGCACTCGTGTTTCTGCCTCTGTGCGGGCTGTGTGCAGGGCTGCACTGGGGAACGTATCTCATGAATCTACCTGAAGTCACCCCTCTTGAAGAGAGGGTAAGACCAGACGAGCCCCAGAAATCCCTTTCAATCCACACTTCCCCCCAAATGCTCTGTCCTGATACAGATCCTCAGACTCACAGATGTGATTTTGAGAGCTGGAGAAAGCCACAGCACTCTCCTCAGAATTAAAGAGCTGTATAGCATCTAGGAAGAGCTGGAAATGGGGCTGAAGCCCTGCACCTGTGGTATTTATGTGACACATTGCCACTTCTGTTTTCAAATGTTCTGCTTTCCAATATAAACTGGGTCTTGAGATACTATTTAATGAACTTTTATTGCCCTGAATTGGCAGAAGACTTGTGTAGCTGAATCCAAATGAAAATGAAATAAAACATGTCCAAACCTCAGGCAAGTGTACAGAAAAAATGATAATAAAAGTAGCAGCAGTATCTATCTATTGTTCTTACTTTGGTCTCCTGAAGATGTGTCCATACTGGGAGCAGGCAAGGCCTACTGTTGGTGTGTATACAATTGGCATTAACCGCTCAATATCATCTTGTAATACCCGATAGAATAGTTTTTCATTTCTCTCTTGGATGCCCATTATGTAGATATACCTGAAATTAAGCAAAGGAAAGAAAGCAACCACTTATTGCTTCACATTTACGCTTATTTAAAACAATGTGAAAAAAGTCAAAGAAAAACCCAAATGTGCTTCACATTATGTCTTCATGAAATTCCTGCTTCCACTCAAGTTGGGCTTGGAGCACTAAAAAAAGTTGGAAAAGAGAGAGTAGCAGTACTATAAAGCTGAGATAAAAAAATGAGATATAACATACCATGCATGCTAACAAGTTGATACACAAACATGCACTGTGATAAAAGATAACCCATGGTTTTATTACAGGATGCAGCTGGGAGTCTCATCACTGTTAAAAAAAAATTACCAGTGAAGAATTTTTCATCCAAACCAGTAAGGTCCTGACAGTAAGGTCTTGTTAATCCTAACATTAAAAAAGTTATAAAACAAATTAGCTCCTAACAAAAAGTTCATTTTGAAAGACTTACCTAGGTGTGTAAATTAAATGTGCATTTTTGCAAATCTACCTAGCAATCTACCATGTATCAGTTCATATTCAGTCACACTGACCTGACAACATAAAAATGATGAATTAGGGATTTGTCTTAGGCTACAGCAACCAGGCACTTTGCCAGTACAGATGACATGACTGTTTCAGATCAGCAAGTGACATGATGTGGATTTAAAAGTCATCTTTTGGTTTTCATGAGAACAAAAGAGTTTTGATGTGGTCCAGTAAGCCTCAAACCATTCCAATGCTCCTCTTGCCTTTAGAAGACTGTGTATTTTTACATGCAAATATACATAGGCTTATATGAAAACAGTAACAGGGTGCTAAAAATATGCCATTCTAAAAGGAAAAAAAAAAATCAAAATCCTTCATGTTTTTTTCACCAAACCATTAGGTAAAAAAAAAAAAAAAGAAAAAGATCTATAATAAAAAAATTGCCTATTACGAGACTCAAAATTCTAACCCTGTAATTCCTTTGTAGCAGTAACTACTGGATATGATAAACACTGTTTTTCATACCTAATTATCAAACCCTCAATTTACCTTCACTCACATATTTTTCTAGCGTGCACTATGCCCCCCCCATACTTCTGTGCTCCAAAAACCTGCCACCCAAATCTTACAGAAATACATATCACATATTACAGCAAAGTTTGCAGCTTTGTTACTGGCTAATTTGTGCACAGTCTTTTTTGTTACCTTATGACTATGGAATATAAAAATAAATGCTCCTCAACTTCATTTAGCCACATGATGAATGCATGGTTGATGAAAGCATGGTTGATGAAAGCAGTTTTCTGTGCAAGAGTGAAAATAACCTCCAACAACTGAAAAACCCAGTGGAGGCACAGAAACCTTGTTTGGTTAGCCCCAGGAAATATTTTACAGCAATTTCCATTTACTTGCATGACAAAACAAGGCCAGAGGAGTGCTTACTTTTCCAAGGGGTCAGTCATTTTTGCCAAATTCTTATGGAAGCGTAAGGCTTGAATGTCTTGTGTCTCTATTTTAGGAGGTAGAAGTCCTTGCAATCCAAGCATCTGTCGTTCATGTAATGTAAAGGCCATACCCTGAAAACAAGAGAGGTGAGAAATGATTAGCAGTTCTTCCTCTAGCCTTTCTATTTATTTGCCATTTCTGACTATCCACTGCATCCTCTTCCAATGGCAGGTGCCACAGCAGGCTGGGTTTGGATATATTTGCCTCTGCTGGAGTTCTCCTCATCCTTTGTGGGTATCCCTTTTGACCACAGCTTTTCCACAGCTCTCAGTCCTCATGCCCTCTGCCAGATTTCATTTGCCTCTGTGAAACTGGAGAACAACTAACAGATCCCACTGCAGACAGGCTAAGGTTTAAGGGTAAAATAACAGCTGCTTCTTGAATTGTTTCATAGGAATGTAAGGTTGATCAGGAACATGCGGGTCACCCAGTTTGGTCCCTACAATCACAGACAGTAACATTTGGTCCACAGAGGGTTATCTGAATTGCTGCTTTTTTCTACATGTTTTTGGTAATCCAGCCAGATCCCAAAGTTACTGAATTGCCCTAATGCTTCTACTGAGATCACAGTTCAACCCAAATCCTTCATTTTTACCTAGGGCTAGAACTAATCTATTCACCTCCAACTGTAGTCATCTACTACCGAAAAACCTCACTGGTAACAAATGAAATTTCAGATTACTCAAACCACAGGAATATCCCACCGTTTTCATTCTTCTCTGTTCCAAGGTGGATGTAGAGTTTAATTTATCGTTATTTAAATACTAATTTGAATAAAACTGGCTTTTCACTTAGTACACAAAACCGCCTTCGGTAAGCTACCTGCTAGTGGCGACTGGCAGGCACCTTTACGGGGTGGGTAACTCCTAGGTGTAACTCCGCAAAACGCCAACTGACCCGGGTCCAGATTCACAGCCAACCTCTCTCAAAGTGCTGACCCCATTTCCGACAACAACTGACCCTACTTTAAGTTTGCCGCTTCCAAAAGAGCAATGATAAACTTTCCTTATTTCAGTTTATCCAACTGGGTCAGTTCAGTGAATGATTAAAACAGTATTTGCGAACGCAGGAGCTGAAAACCCAGAGAGACTCTTTGCTGCGCCAAGGCTGCACATCAACCTGTGAGCAAAAGCAGAATCTGAAAGGGAAAGGTCTGCTACTTGTAATCTTTTGGAAACATCAGTTCTGCTCACAAACAACACTTCCTTTGTTTATTAAAGCAGCTAGATTAAAAACCAATAACACATTTTCTCAACTGTCCCCATGATGCAAGCAGATTCTTACTGTCAAGTTAAAAAAAAAGGTTTCTTTAGAAAAGCTTTCTAAGGTTTGTTTTATGCCTTGTAATTACACTCCAAATTCCCCCTGCAATCAGAAAAATCACAAGAAAAAAATAGTATTTTCCCCACTTTAGAATAAAAAAAGTAAATTAAGATTAGAATATACATATTTTCACCTCTGCTTATGTTTTAATAGACTTTCACAGGTGTTTGTAGAAAGTATGGCCATTAACAAAAAATCGCTAATTTAGAGGCTATACTTAGTGTAATTCAGCATAGTTGAATGGTTTATAACCAATATAACTACTCCTTAAAAAAATATTTTTTTCTCTTTACTTATTTAAATTACATTTAATGTCACTTGTTTTGACTCCACTGATTTAAGCAGTCCACCTGCTTTTCTGTACTAATTCTATACTATGTTTTAAAGTAATAAAATATTTGAAGAGTTAAAAAGCAAGCTACTCCAAGAAAAAAAGAATTTAAAACTTCAGTGTGTGAAAAATATTTTAAGTATTTAACCCTACAATAGATCGATGCTTTACATTTCTGACAACCTTCCAGGTACTACATTTGACATTCAGTACTAACTCAGTTCATCCTTTTTTCTATTATCTGTGAGTCACTCGCAAACCATTTTTTCTCAAACCACTGTTATTCTCAAGTATTCTTCTAATATTGTCTGTAAATAAATTTCAGATGACGGCTTGTTCCTGAACTTTTTACCCTTGCTGCTTGTCTTTTGCTGGGTGTAACAGTCACTTTAGCCACATGATAATTTTTGCTGGAAACTGATTTGAGTAATCCAAAATTTCCACTGAGGACACAACCAGTAAGCAGCACTGCCATGAGAAACAAACCAAGAGCGCACACTGAATGCCTCTTTTTTTTTTCCCTATATTGCAAAGGATCTACTTTAGTTTCACTTCTACATACTTCACAGGAAATATTGAAAGATTCTCTGGGAATGTCAATTCATCTTCCAAAGTCGCATGGAAGCAAACCAAGCAAACACACATCTCTGCTATCTTACCCTGTTCCTTAGCTGCCCCTAAGTTTGTTACCCTCAGCAGTGTATGCCTGTTTAATAAAAACAACCAATTCTCAACACAAGCTGTACTTGCAGCGCAAATGATTTAGGATATGAAGCTGAGCACAGCTGGTAAACATCTGTAATATTTTGACTGTTACTTTAGGCACTATAAAAACAAAAATGATGCCAAAAGATTTACCATATTAAGAAGAAGGAAAAAAAAAAAAAAGACTAGTCTCTTCCCAGAAGATATATGAACACTGGTCAGTAAAGTCACTAATGTCACTAGTTTAAGGCATGTCAAAGGCCAGAATCCCTTCAGTGCTACCATACTGGCTACACTGACATTTTACTCTAAACTAGCTGAAACATCTTACTAGCAAAACCTACATCCTCCCCATCAGGAACTCTCAAGTCCTTTAAAAATAAAGTCTACCTAATTTCTGATTTCCACTATGAGCATGACACTGGAACATGGCTTTTCCTTAATTTCTCTGTACAATAAAATCGGTGACCTTAACTATCTGGGTTCCTAATAATACCAGATGAGCTCTGAGGTTAGTACTAAGCAGAACAGCTACCCACCTTTATTCAGTTTATTCACATTTTTTCCAGTCTACAGGTAAACTGTTTTTTCAGCTATCTGGAGTTACACTGTGAATCCTTTAAGTGGCACTAAGTACTAAGTACTTGCAACTGTTTATTTACGTGACAATTAGATCTTACCACGTTAAAAGATGCTTTAATTTCTGCCCAGGCCTAACTCAGGAATTTGAATGCCATCAGCCTCCACACAGAAATTTAATCCTCGTTCCAGCTAGAACAAAACAAGTTTAGTCGAGAGCAGCACTATAAAAAGATCCCAGAGCCCTTCCAACACTTGCTGTATTCCCATTCATTATCTCTGTCCATGGCCACCAGCTGCCTCTTGTTTTGGATTTGGGATTACAGCTTGTTCCCCATACAGCACCTTGCAGGACAGAGATTTTCCTTAGTGTGCCTAGGAGCTGCAACATTACAAATTTTCTAGCCTTCTACCTCTTTTTGTAAGCCCCAGCACAGTTTGACAGAGCCAGCGATCAGCTCCCAGTGAAATCAGGAGACAGTCAGCAATTCGCAGCAGTGGGACTGATGCTCTCAAAGGCACTTAAGATCCCAGCACCTACTTAAGGGCCAAATTCCCTCTAGTTTCCACTGGGATTAAATCCCTAAATACCATAATGATTTGGGCTTAAGTCACAGGGATCACTTTATGGTTTCCTTTGACCCACAGTGCTAGGTGTCCTTTTTCTGAGTATTATCCACTGACTTGCACATAGATTAGCTTCCTTAATCCTCATTGCAGCTCAGAAAAAAAAAGGTGCCCTTTCTAAGATAGTACAGACAAAGCAGTGAGCACATCTAGGAGAAAATGCAGCACACTTCAAAGACCACAAATGAATTAATTAATACGCATGGACAAATTTATTGCAACAAACCCAGTGTACTGCCATGGGAAAAAAAAAAGGCAAGTAAAATGAAGTGTCAACAGTTTTTTAGTTAAGACAAACTCACCTTGAATCACCATGTACTGTGCCTTTAATCCACAAACTATCTGGCACTGGGACCTCACTTTAGCCCTAACAACTGGGCTCTACTACACAACACGAGTGGTGCTATAAATACCAGCATATAAAAATTCTAGCTGCCTACTTTGCATGAAGGTGAACAGGAGACCTGAACCCTGCAAGCGTGATTTTTACAGCACCACTGAGTAAATAAGACTGAGAGGTTTCTAAGAAGAGCAGTACTAGTGGTGATCATTTCTTCCCCCCCTGCAAAGTCTTGCAGACATATATATAGGAGGGGATACTTGATACCATAAATACTCTGAAGTATTCTGAAAACCTGTACAGTTTATAACAAATAACCCATTCAAAGCCCCTGATAAAAGATGTAAATGCAGACTATATCCAAACATGGCACTGTTTGGAAAATGAGAGTTAGTCTACTTCACAGGGAAGATTCAATCAAACGGTTTTCATGTAACTTCTAATCATTGTTATAACATATTCAGCAGTATATTGTAGGCTTTGAAGTAGCATCATAAACATTTTAAAAATAAAGTAGATTTTACATTGGATTGTGGGCTGCTGCTTCTCTTAACTCTGCTTCCTTTTGCTAAATCACAGAGTTCACTATTGCACAACATGTTTCCACTGCAAATTAATAAAGTGCATTCATATGAATCAAAGGTGTATTTGCTATCTCAACCATAGATTCAAAGTTTCTCTGTGTTTATGAGAACAGTGTAGAATATGGAAATGTCCTTTGATTTCTTTCCTCCTTCATTTTTTTAAACTCAATTTCCTATCTTTATTCTACCAGAAACAGCATAGTATATACACTGGAGGGTATGGCTGACACACACAGTGATCTACTCCCTGCTGAATTCTGAAACGACCTAGACCTTTCCCAGGTTATTAAGCCTTTAAAGACCTTAGTCTCTCTGCAGGCAAAGATGCCACCAGTTCTTGTATCGCCTCTGTATGTGTGGAACCAGATGTAAATCACTCTGGCTGCTGGACCAGACTTCGCTAATCTGCACTAGCTCTCATTTACTAATGGTGTAACTTCAACTAAAAGCACTCCCCTGCAGAAAATGGGAAAAAGTCAGAAACAGAAAGCCCTTACACACCAGCAAAGAAAGTTATCCAGCCTCTCTAGGGTTTGTTTCCAAGCACCAACCGCTGTGGTAGAGCTGTACATTCCAAATCAGGAGCACAACACCTGAAATGGCTCATTTACACCCCATAGCATCACTGAACACCTCAGAAAGTTTCATTGAACTGCTATTTTTCTAACTGAGCGGATGACATTGCTTTTGTTCTCCTTGAATGGCATTAATCCTACAATTAAAAAAAAGAAACCGAAAAAATTAAAAAACAAGACCGCTTCCTTCCTTCCTCCACCCACCACTCCAGTAGCTCACGAGTCCTGAGCAGAATAGCTGATCTCAGTTAAATGAGGTGCAATACTACATACCACCTTTGGCACTTACACCACCTTTTCAGACAGATGATAAAAGCTGGTTACAGATTAAACAGTTCCATCTTTCCACATTTAATTCCCTTTAAAAGCATGCAGATCTCAAGGAAGCTGATAGAAGCTGCAAAGGCATGACCATGCAGCTTCCATCCAACAATCCCTCCGTCTCCAAACCAGCTGGGCAGGGCACAAAATTTGCGGTGGGACTTTTGGGTTGAGCATGTGCATGTGCGCAAAGGAACTACCGGTTTCTATCAGTTTCCTGCTTCCTAGGCTCTTTCTTCACAACCTATCAGAAACTGCTGGTAGTATTTCAACGACTGCATTTCTTAGTGACATGACAACTACCATTTGCAGTAGATGTCCACATCCTGTTTATCCTGGTTTCCTCAGGAAGGCAGATGGGCATTGCGTATTCTACACCCTGGCTGCTCAAACCAACTGACACAATCTAAGTAGTATTAAAATAAAAGAAATCAATGTGTCCAAAACCAGCATGCTGAGAAAGGGCAGTGGAAGGGGAAGGGAGCATCTGCTTTTAGAGAGTGAAGTTCATACATCTTTCTTCACATTCTCTTGTCCTATCCTATGTATTTTGTCCAACTAGCTTTAATTTTGGGTTGGGGTTTGTTTGTTTGTTTGTTTTTATTCTGAATTGGAAATATCCTCTTCGGATATTTGGCCGAGTCAGAGAGGTCACGTACATCTTTTGTTAAGAGAACTGGTTCTTTAAACAATGTTAATCTATCAAGAGTTTCTGGAAGTATTCTGTAAGGCATAGATGAGAACAAATCAGGCTGAAAAAGCTGGGAATGAATACAGATGAAACTGTGATTAATGGTCTAGCTAAATACAAGATACGAGAAGACGACCACCCATATGGAAGACAGACGCTGGGGCAGTTCCTCAGGAATTGATCTGGGATTAAACTGACACCATCAGTGAATTCTTTTTTTAAAATGTATCCTTTATATACATTTTAAAATGTATATAAAAAATACCCACACACATGTGCCCTGGCATATACATGCATACAAATACATGTGCATGCATGTGTGTTTTTAATGCAATGTCCTAAAGATATCTGCTGAAGCAAAAAATTTGTGAGGCATTGTCAGTACAGGAGAACAATATTAAAGAATGAAACATCCAAAGAATATTTAGGCACAGAGTAATGGAAAAAGGGGTAATGGAATCAACTGTACATAATACAGTCATGCACTTAGACAGTAACAAGAATTGATGCCACAAGGTAGAAGAATCACCAACTAAAATACAGAAAGTGTCACAAATTATTCAGAGTCACAAATTTGTTGCAAGCACGTAGAAAGCAAACATACAAATAATGTTACAGGTCACGTATTTCCAGTGAAAACAAAGACATACACATGCCGCTCTACGTGGCAGAATAGACATCGCCAAGGTCAGGGATCACCTACTCATGCATCATTTGTTCTGTGCTGGAAGAAGAAATCCTGGCCCTTGAGTGAGAATCTGAAGCATTACCACAATATAAATAACAACTTAATTGTCAGTACTAAACAAATGAGATTGTCCTAACAGTGTTCTAAGCGCCCAACAAGCTTAAAATGCTGCCTTGGCACAGCAAGGATCTCCAGCAGAATAAAAGATCCTGAAGCTAATTAACTGTGATTTGAATCCCTGCCACAGAGCAGAAATCAAACATCATGGAAGATTGTAAATAGACATGGATGCCAGCAGTGCAGTTACAGTATGTTCTGCAATTGTTTGGAACAGCAAGATCATTACTGATATAGCTCATGACCTTTTCTGAGCTGCCCTGACAATAAACACTTGAAAGCTGGCCTTCACACATAAAAACCCAAACCAGTTGATGTAGGTGTAGTACATACCTGCAGAAGACAGGTAAGGATGGGAAAGAAAAGAAAAAAACCCAAATAATAAGACAAAAACCTAGAAGAACGGGAGCAGACTAACTGGCACAAGGGGAAGGGGTGGTTTTCTGTTAGTGATTGCTGCCATCTTACAGTTCTTATTTTAGGGCCCACATGTATTAGAGGAGACCAAATGTCCTGTAGAGTTGATAGGGATTGTAAAAACGAAACATAAGCAACTAAAACACAAGTCATAAAATGACGATCTCAACAAGCTGCCAGTAAGAGATGAAGTCCTTTATCTGTGCCTGTATGCATAAGATACATGTATCTGCACATAAGGCACTGTGGTCAAGAAAAGCACAAAGGGTAAAGTACTTTGCATATTTAGTCAATCATTTATTTCTCTGCTGCATTTCCTAAATACATTTCTATACAGATACTGCACCCAGCCACCAAGCAGTATCACTTAACTAGCTTACAGATCCATTCAAACAGGTGTCGGCTTTAACGACAGAGCTGAACAAATGTGGCAAGTTTTTTTCCTCTCACAAGCATCATTTCTTGGAGACTAACACATTTAAAAAAAAAAAAAAAGAACTGCTATTAATAATCATCTCTCTGCTTTTCCCTCCTCCTCAAAAAAAAACCCTACAAAAAAATACTGCATTGTGCTCAGTCCACCAGAGAATTCCAGGTTTTTTTAAAAAAAAAAAGGTATTACCACTGGAAAAACAGTAAGAAATGACCTATTGTTTTTGTTTCTGAACACTGTTGCATAATCAGCACTTGGAAAAGCTTACAGGGCTTGAAATAATTTCCACTGGCATGTCAAAACATTTATAGCTTGGAAAAGTCTCAAGATAATCTGATCTTGACAAACCACACCAATCTATTCTTTTCTCCTTCCCTGGCAATCCCAATTTCATTTTTGCCGTCAGCCGGTCTCTAACTTCTCTAACTTCTACAGCTCACTCTCTACATATGCAACCCGCATTCATGCAGTATCAAGGCAGCCCACACTACATCGTACTGTACAAAAACTGGTAAGAAACATGACTGCACGTCTACATTTTGCCTTCCTTTCTTTTCAGGACACTCGGGATCACTTTTGCCAAAAGACACACTGGAGCAATTCTCCCTGTAGTTACAGGCAGGACACAAGGAAATGCAGCTTGCAGTTCCTAGCTTGATATCCTCCGCAGATTATTTTGAGATCACCGGCCAACTTCTGACAAAAAGAGAGGGACAACGAAAAAAAGAAAAAAAAAAGATTTTGCTGTGCAGAGGAAAGTCAGCCTAGACCTGCTGCTGAGAGAAATGCTTGGGGTTATGCGTCTGGCTTGCCAGCTGGCCAATTTATGGAAGCACGTGCTTCTTTTCATCTAGGAAGTGGCAGGGGAAGGAGCTAAGAATACAGGGGGAGAGAAGGAGCCATGGGCAGAAATGGAAGGGAAGGAAATACACAGTGAAGGGGAAATATAAGGCATTACAGGAGGAAAAAAATAAAATCAGAGAATGGGGAAGAGGAGAAAAGCCAGACATTAAAAACATAGCATAAAACTATGGAAGCCCAGCTTCCATAGCTCCATTGCTCAGGAAATACCCTGTCGGAGGTAGCTAGATTCATCACCTTTCTTGGCCACTTTAGACATCTTGGATCAGCTACTAAAAGCCCTCATCTCATTTCTTACTAGTTTTAGTTTACACCTTAATTGTTGCAATATTCCTGAAGGCTACTACTACTCTGGGAAAGAAAAGAGATTGGGAATGGGGTTGTGGAAATAGGAAAATTTCCAAAGCCACTTTCTTAGGATAACTTCCTCCCGATGCATGGAATGAACATAATGTCTCTATCTCCCAGCTAGCTCCATTCAAAGCTTATTTTTAGATGCCCTCTGGGCAACTCTCTCTACAGGGATGTTTCTTACTGACATGGCTTGATCCCAATTCACAGCCTTGCAGAAAAAAGCCACAACTAGAACAGAGAGGCTAACATTTTCTATCACTAGCAAGACTGAATTCAGAATTAACTTTTGCAAACTATGAAATAAGGCTCTATCTGCTAAAGCTTTTCTTCAATTCAACCAGCCCAAAAACTAAGCCAGTGATCAGCAAGAATCAGCGACTCTTCAATGGCTCAAGGAAGCAGCATTATTGATTGTGTAAACCACAGCAAACCAGGGGAAGCACAGGCTGACAGAAGCAGAAGGTGTTACTGGAAGTCCTTGTACTGTAGGTGTTCAGGCAGTAAACTTGAAATGATCACTGACTCCTCCATCTTCTGCACCCTTTTTTGGCTGTGGCCCAGTACACCTCCTGGAGGTGGTTTAACCCTGGAACAAGGTCCACTGGACAATTACCAGATGAAGATAAGATATTTGATAATCAGACAAGACCAACCTTGTTTGTTCGTGGGTTTAACATCAGTGGCTTGCCTTTTTCTTTTGTATGTGCACTGCGACATGCCATCGCACAGGGAGTGGTAGCTACTCGTAGTCGGGAAAGCATTTTTTTTATTTGTATACTGCACCTGGAAAAAGGAAAAGAAAATCATTCAGATACAGAGGCAGCGGAACTAATGTTCATATTTGTAGGCCATCTGTTGTAAAAGAAATACGTACATGCTAGATAAGACTCAAACACCGTGATAATAACGCAGAATTGCCTTGTGGCAGCTGGGAGGAAGGAAAAGAAGGCAGGCTTTACAACAACAAGAGTGCATGAGTAAGTGGAGAGAACATACAGGGATACTAATGCGAGCTAGCATTATGCTGTGAGTTGCTGTCAGACAGCATTCACTAGGAATAAACCCAGAGCAGAACTGCCATTAGCAAATATTAACCTTCTGTAGTGACCCACGCAACTGGCACCAGTGCAAATACCAGGGAGGACTGAATAACTCAGGCTAATGCAGCAAGAAAATTCAAGCTGGGTTTCTCCAGTTGGTTTCTGACAATGAAATTTTGTGGCCTGGACAACAGAAAGGAAAGAAACTATGTCTATTAGCATATTAAAATTAGATTAGAACAAAACATATGATTAAAATGGTCAAAAATTCACTGAACTCTGGATTCCATGCTTTGATTTTGAAAATTCCAAACCTGAAATAAGGTTATTTTCAGAAAGAATATACCCTTTTCAACAAAGGATGTTTCCTGAACAAAATAAAAACTTTGTTAGTACCACTCAAAAGCTTAGATCTTAATCTCGCCAGGTGATGATAACCACGCTCAGACCCATTTTATTCAACTATTAATTGCCAGCTCTTTGGAGCAGAAATTATCATTTATTACATGCTTATATAACGCAGGACCACTAGGGAATGCATACTGGGCTCATCTCTAAACATTATTTCACCCACACAGAGAGACAACAGCAACCACAGCGAGACCTTACACAGGACCACAGCCTGAATGAAGACACATGAAGATGGCAGGCCACAAAGGACAGATGTACACAGCTCAGATGCAATATTGTGCAGAATCCTGACACGGGGAGAGGAAAAAAAGAATCCCTTTAGCCACAGGCCTATAGAGTCAGCAGAGAAAGGCAGAGATCCAGGATCAGCATGGCAGGAACCCTTCTCCCTCTCCATTGCAGCTGGTGTGGGTGGGGGACCCCTGCAGCCGGTGCTCCATTGTCCCCTGGCCCAGCTGTATGTTCACATCCACGACACATGCAAGGACAGTAAAGCAGGTATGAGACATTTTTAAGGGATGAAATGATGCATGGTTTGGATTTTTAATTTCTTCCAGATGGAAGCCAAAATTCAATTAAGGAACAAAATTTCATTATCTTAAATATAGTCTGAATACTTTAGAAGACCATTCTATAATCAAATTTACACATAATCAACTTTTAAGACGGCAGACAGATCTTACAAGTTACAATCTGAGCATTTTCTTCAAAATCTTTCCAAGCATTAAAAGAACATACAAACATTTAATATTTTTCACCACCAGTTATATCAGAGTTTCTCTTCTACCCATTACAAAGCGTAGAGGAAAGCAGCACTGAAATGCAGCGGGATCCCTTTCTCTCCTCCTTTTTTTGTTTGTTTAGGCCTTGCAACTGAAACAAGTTCCACTCAAAACCCATGTGTTTAGTTGTTTCATGGTAGAGAACATAAATTTACTGTGTGGAGACAGGAGGAATGGAAGCCTTGCCAGCACTACAAACAAATGTTGCTTTTAACATGCTAATTCCTCCCTAAACCAGCTAGCAGTGGACTAAACACAGCTGGTCTGCCAGAACTCAGGGCAGCTGTAAATCAGGGTCAGATAAGCAAAATTAAATTTGTGCTGCAGAACAACCAGCCTTTAGGAATGGCAAATTCAGTCTTAACTGGTCTTAATTCTGATTGCTCATTCACCATCGTTACACGAGTCCATCTCCTCAGGCACGTGAGGTTAAAAATATGATTACAGTGTCATAGCAAACCTCAGCCCGCACCCTATCAGTCTGGTGTTAGGGTGCCTTCCATCTGTCATGAGCAAATACCTTAAACAAGGACTTAAAAACTAGGTCAACCACCACACCTTATCTTACACTAATTAAATTTAAATTACTTCATTGCAATTAATGAGCATTTAAGAACCAAACAAGATTACGGCCCAGATTTCTCCTAATTTCGTCAATTAACTCTCTAATCAATAAGAGACAGAGACTCTTCAGGGGTGTGATTCAAATCTTACTTTCTTCTCTCCTCTGAGGTGCCATACTGGCACCTAAAATGATTCTCTTGGTGAAGGCATCTCAGAATCAAGCTTCTTTTTCCACTCAGTCCCTCTGTTTAGATCCAAAAGATACGATCCCAGTTAATTTATACCCAGCATAAAACCTGACTGGTTACTCAGTCCTGAGCTCTCCTTCCCCTGCTTTTCTAATTTTTTCCCATTTCTGTTTCCTCCTCCATCTTTCACATGTCCTGTAATCCCTTTGGTTGCAGATTTTTAAACATGTTTTAGCAAGAAGCTGCCTCCAAAACTCACCTTAACATGACTTAACCTGAAACCACAAAGCAAGCATCCTTCCCCATCCCCTGTCCATACTCCTCTGCAAGAGTGCCAAGAGCTCTGTGCTTTGCCTGTGTCGCCGTGGCCCTCCATGACTCACCTACCCTCCCCTCCCAGCTCTGCTGGCCACCAGCCTGGCAAGAACAAGCCACTCACTTGCCCAGGCCCTTCTGCTTCAAAAAGTCCGAATTCCTCCTCAAGAATACATGCACAGGACAATCCAACACCCCTTACAATTAAAAATCAAGGCTACACCTGTACATGCCACCAGTGTCTTAATGCTTTTTAAAACAGAGCTCCCAGGCTGACACCGCTCACCCCCAGCCGAGGCTCACAGGATGGCTTGAGCCAGATGCAGCACTGGGGTAGCCATAAAACCAGCTCACACCAGGAGTTTGGGATTACAGCTCACAGCTTCTCAGATGAAAGATGCCACCAGACAATAAAAATATTTTAAATGCAGTATGGTCCAACTGACGGCAAATAAACTGCCCTGGGCAGGACCGCTTCTCCTCTAGCCTTACAGGAAAGAAAGAAAGAAAGGACACAAAGTCTCATGGCCAGTGGCTTCGTATCTGGCAGCCCTGTTTCTGGGGAGCACTTCTGGCAAAGCAGCAAGCTGCAAGGACAGGTCTGGAAGAAAGGTCACCAAACCAATACCTGGTTTCAAGGAGATGAAAGGGTTGGGTCATGCTGCTCTGTGGGGTTTACAATGGGTTTTGTGGAAGAGAGGCCAGGCTTGAGATGGTGGTACTTGAACTGTAAGACAAAGGAGAGATGATTTTGACAGTAAAGGCTGACAGAGAAGGGAGAACCATGTCAACTGAGGGAAAGACGGGGGGTTGCAATGATCTGAAAACAGATTCACAGAGCACTCAAGTTGTGCAATGCCCTGTGAGGAAGAATTAGGAAGAAATCAGAGGAATTGAAAGAGGAATAAAACTCCTGCTAAAAGATGTGTCAGCATAACCAGAACAAGGATTTCTTTTCTTCTCTTAGTACTTGACAATGGTAAGGACTAAACAAGACTGTGGTGCACCACTAGACTTAATCCAACTGGTCATTTTGGACTTATTACCACATACATGCTGTGTCACAATTTAAGAGAATTAAATTCTTCAGCATACCAGATGACAGCTCTCTTCTGTGCCTTATCAGGAGGCATCTGGCCAGGTCAAACTAATTACCAATACTGCATAAGTGCCCTTATCTAGGAGCAAATGTTTTGCTGCTGCAATTATGGATTTGTTAAATTGCAAAACCTACTTTAAGGGAAAGGTTCATCATACTTTTAAAAGGCACAATTACATTGCTCAGAGAGTCAGGAAGCTCAGCGTCAATTAAAGCAAGGTTTGCTTCAATAATCACACAGGCTGGCTGAGTGGTGGATTATACCTTAATACCACGGAGTATCTCTCAGTGGACAGCAACTTGCGCTTGATGACTTTGCAGTCTTCCTTCAGTGTGAAGGACAGCTAAGCATAAATATATTTCAAGCCCTCCTGAAATCCTGTGGAAAGGAACAGTTCCAGTCTTTCCTTCATGTACAGAAATTATCAAGCCCTGTGTGTTAACAGGAGCTTGTTCTTGATAACACAAGCTGGGAATATTAATTCAAGACCATACAGGTCTCACAGAGTTTCCAATCTTTCTGGCCTCAACTGGTTTTGGTTTTTTAGGCACCACTGCTCTAGCATCAACAAACATTTTCTCTTATATACCCACAGCAATCTATTCTGTGAGTCTGCATTATCCCGAGTCTGGTGTGGATGCACCATTGCACTCTAGTTTTTTTTTTTTTTTTTAAATAAACCGACAAGCCTGGCCCACCCAAGCGTGACACAAACCAGGCAGACACTAGCTGGCTTCATCACCTCAGTAATGATAAAGCAGTCTAAAATTATTACACTAGGCAAGTACCAACTATAAATGTGTCTCCCAATGAGACTTTTGCTTTGGGAAAGCAAGGTTTCCCTGCACCCTGCAGCGGGTGCTCTGCAGAGCAAGGGGGAAGGAGGGCACTTCCATTTTACATCAGGAGCACCCCAGTGCGTACACGTGCAGGGGAAGGAGCAGAGAGACCAGGCTGGGTGACACAGTTCTGCACAGCAACTCAGCACCTCTGACTCCCTGACCTCACCAGATGCTGTTAGGGGAAGTTAGCAGAAAACGGTGGTAATAATATCTCATGTTCCTTCCAGCAAAGTCCTGAGCTGTCGTTTTAAATTTCATTTCTAAGGTACCTTGAGATCTGCAGATTAAAAGGAGCAATCATACAAGGAGATGTTAATAAAATGTTTGGCAGTGGTGAGCAGGTAATTTTGGAAGCAGCTCTTTAAACATATTGAAACTACTCTTCTTCCCTCTTATTCTGAGGCAACCAATTCAACACGGAGGAAAGTTATACGCAAAGCACTTACGTAGAGTAAGGAAGGTCAAAACTCCAGGCTTGAAACATTAAGCAAATAAAGCACACTTAGGTGAGTTCAAATG